GGGGAGACGGGTTTCAGGAACTTTCGTTGGAAGTGCATGGAGAAAGAGGATGGTGCATTTTGTTGGTAGGACGAGATCAGCATGCTGGTTGCCCTCCTTCAGCAGTTTTGTGGAGACTTCAGATAGTTGCGATGCATTTCAACCTGAAATAGGTACCTGAAATAGAGTGAATGATTGGTGCCTTAAAAATGCTTGTTTTCTCTGGCTTTAAAGGAAACTCCATGGTAAACAGCCAGAGGTGGGTTAATGATCCTGGCCCTGTCCTGATGCAGGGCTAGGGGAGAGGGCTGTGGGTCTTGTGCAGGGGTCTAGCTTCAGGGGGAGCCCTGTGTATGTCTGTTATTAAGGGCTCCAGAACTCAAGCTTGTTTTTTCCAGTGAGGAGAAACAGCAAATTTTAAAGGCTTAGCATAAAACAAACTTGTGTACGCCTCTGCACAGCAAAACACCCACAATGTTATCTTTCATCTGCCATATATCACAGTGTTTATAACTTTGAGGTCTGCTGCTGGGAAGAGTTGAAATATCAGTGCTGTTAACCTAAAAAGTTATCATTAGCTACTGCATTATATTTCACCTTACTGCTATTAAATGCGAGTAATATTTACTCAGACTTCAGGGAACAGGCAAGACCCCTTTGCTCTGATCCCTTGCAGGTGCAGAGGACCCAAAGACAGGCTGCTTCTCTCCCCTGAGCCTGCAGTGCCTGCTTTCATCCTGTTTTCTCCTGCTTTAGTTCATTCATGGGGTCTTTTCCTTTTGATGTTGCTGTCAGAACCCATAGGTATAATCAGGAGAGAAGTGCATTGGGAAGGTAAATCTTATGAAGCTATCATGGACTGAAAAAAAGAAGAAATTGTGAGAGTTGTTTTTTTCTAAATATTAATTTCTCGAGTTTTTGATGCTGAGATGTCTCAATTGTAGGAGGAGAGCAGCTGTTATGTGCCTCCGCTGTCAGCTTGCTCTCTGCAGTGTCAAATTGTATCTTGGTTTTGCCATCTCTAATCTCTCCTGCTGTCTGTGCTCATATCTTTTCTCTGTCCTCATTAACACCACACAGCCCAACTTGTCAAACAGAAAAGTGATATTCCTGCATCTTTTTACCAACCCTGCCAGCTGTCTCACCTCTGACTCAGCGACCTTCTCCCTGGTAGCCTGAGGGTGCCAGCTTTAGACTAGCCAGGCAGGCTTCCCCCATCTCCTTTTCCCCACTGCTTCCCATCCTAAGCATTGCTGGGGACCGAGCATATTGGGCGAGGAGGATGTGGTTTCCAAGAGGACTTGGGGAAACATGGTGGCATTTAAAACTCTGACCAGACAGCTGCTTCTCCCACCTTCAGTCCATTTCTCACCTCTGGTGTAACAATAATCCTAAATATTATGTTGGGGGTTTTTTTTTTCCTTTTAAAGGCTTATTGTAAGGTTACAATGTGTCGCCTGGGGTTTCCTTTCCTTGCAAAACAAAGGCAGAGCTGCTTGGGCATCCTGGATGATGCTGTGGGATGCTCTCTGGAACAGATTTGGAGGAAAGACCTTGGCCTTTCGACCCAGGACTAGACGAGATTGTGGGGAATTGGGATCAGGTCAGGGTCCCAGCAGCGAGTGCTGGTGCCACGGGATTTTTGGGGCTGCCCAAGGGGAGGGAGGTGCTCTCGGGCGCAGGTGGCTGGCAGGGCAACAAGTGACCTGTGTTATAAAAAGGCTGGGTACACAGAGCTCAGTATTTATCCCCTTCTCATGCTGTGGTGCTTGGACGGGAGGCAGCACCAGGTCTTTGGGGGCTGAGTTAAATGCAGGTTTGATGTAAAAAAACAATGAACCAAACAACAGAAAAAACCAAAACTATGGTAATTGTTGGAGGTGCCTAAATAAAGTTGGAAACGTGAACTCATATCTAACCAGACACAGGGTTATAATTTTGTCACAGGTCAAGAGGAAAATATGTCCCACAGTATCTGTGGCAGGGGTCGGGTAGGGAAGAAGAGGGAAAACATCTGCTGAAGGTGCATGTCTGCATGAGACCAAGCAGCTCAAAAGTGCCCATCTCAAGGGCAAAGGGCTGTGGGGAGAGCAGGGGAGCCAGGGTGGCACCAGGGCCTCCCTGCAGGGGGGGCAGGAAAAAGGAGAAAAAAAGATGCTTGTCACACTCTACACCTGCATAGTCCTTGCACAGTCCACACAGGGCAGACCCATGTGGTCTCCTGGCTGGTAATGATGGGGAAGAAAGGCATGACATTTTGTAGGATTAAATTAAGCAGAGTTACATATCTGGTTTCACAAGAGGCTCTGTCAAGCCACGGTGGTGTCACAGCATGGGGGATGCTTTCTGGATGCTGCTGTATGCAGGTGATACATCCCAGGCAAATTCAGATAAGCTGTGGTTTACAGAACCCTGGCTCAATCCTGACCCTTCTCAAGTTTCCGTAAGTCCATAAGTAATTTCCGCACTTGGCAGTGCTGGCATCTCCTGTGAATCCCCGTAAACTTGCAGCCCTTGCTGTACCCTTACGTCTGGGAATTTGGGTCCATGCACCAAGGGGCCATTGCAAGTGACAGTGGTTTACTGGGGTTTTACAGCAGGGGCCATGTGCTCCTGCAGGCAAGCTGTGTTTCACAGGTGTCCCCCGCAATGGTGGCTCACCGGCCCAGGGCTGTGCCCCCTGGTCACCATCTGAAGGCCTCTTTCTTCAACCCAGGGCAGCAGAAGCACCTCCTCCCAGTCAGGGAGGTCGTGTATACACTCCTTGCAGAGCATGAATGCTGTCATTTATGCTTCCTCCCCAGTAAACGCCCATAGGCACTCTATTCCTGGACCCTTGCTCCATGGCTATGCCCATCATCTGTGGTTTGGCCATGGGGAGACACCAGGCTGCAGAGCAGGGATGTTTTGCCCACTTCAACCTATTTGCACTTGCAGCACGTTCTTATTAGCAGAGAGGAGGTGTTGCAGGCACAGAGAGTTTAGCAACAGCCAAATGTTGGCAATAAAGTTGTCTTCCTTCCACACAGGCTGGGGCAGAAGGAAAGAACTACACCAGGTATATGGCTGGTGCTGTCCTAAACTACACAGGCAAAGAAGTGCGGTTGCAGCGTGTCAAGGTGTGTGCATGTGTGTGCATGTGGAAGTTTGCAAACTCTCCCTTGTGTGTGTTACCTGTGAGCAAGTAGAGGCTATCTGCACTGCCCGCATACCATGTTGGGACTAGATAATCCATGCTACAACAAGAAACCCTGGGGCATTTGTGTATATGTATTCATATCTATATAATTGCATGCATATGTCCATGAATATTCATGCCCATACACGTGCGCACATATTGTTGTCCATGTTTTCCAGAGCAGAGGTTTCATCCCCTGGCCAGCAATTGGAAGAAGTGCTGGGGATACTATGGTGCCTCTGTGCAGGGGGTGAGATCCTCCCTATGCAACTCCATTCAGTATTGCCTTTGTCCCTTACACAAGTGGCTGTGTCATAGATGGGCATGAAAACAGGCATGACCTCTCCTCTCAGCATAATGTTTTGTGCTCCTGCCCAAAGCACAGGGGAAGGCTGAGTCCTGGCAGGTGATGGTCCTACATGGGTTTTGGCACCCTGGACCATGGCACAGGGCAAATGCCACTCCCAAGTGCATGCATTAGGAGGATGCTATCCCCAGGATGGGGTCTGGTGCTCGGCATGGGTGACACTGTTGTTATTTGTGTGCGTTACAGCGGGAAGTGTGTGAAGGGAATAAATTTAGCAGTCAAAACACAGGGCCAGTGCAGTCGGTCATTAACTGCCAGCCGGTCTCGTCATCCTGCAACCACAAGGAGCTTTTTTAGGGCTGGCATCCTGGCGGAGGCTGGAGGATGCGTGGGAGGCTGGTTCCTGGTGACACCTCCACGTGTGGCAGTGCTGCCCGTCAGTGCCATTGGCTGCCCCCGGCCTGGGGCCAGTGCTGGCCAGAGGTTAAATGCCTGCACGGCCACACTGGAGCACACAGCCACGCTGGGGCACACAGGCTGGGACATCCCGCTGCAAGCAGCCAGCTCACCCCATCGCAAGCACTGGAGCAGATGTCAGGTTGTACCACACCTCAAGATAAAGGTTTTGGTTTCTTTGGGTTGCTTTCATGTTGCCCTGAGTGAAAATTGCAACATTGCTAAGAGGGGTTGTAGATTTCCTTGTGAGTTCTGGTAGAAAGCAGGAGAGACTTGTAAGCTGGGCTGTAGGTGCTGCTTTGTAAGGGAAGAAATCAGGAGCATGGCTCTTTGCTACAGCATATTTTGAGTGAATGGTGACATGCAGAGCAGTAAGTGTGTACCATGGGGATGTAGAGCGTGGCTGCTCACTTAAGAGACTTGGAAAATGACAGCAAGAGCCGAAGTGCTGCTGCTACCCACAAAGCTGATGGCATTGCTTCTGCCCTGGCTGAGGTGTTGCTGTTGCTTTCTGCATTGTCTGCCATTGGGGTTGGTAGAAGGTTCCTGCTCGTCAGGGGGTTTTCCCGAGGATGCCAGACCAATCCAGAGGCCACCAGGGACGTGGTTCTCTGTGTGGTTATCTTACCAGGGTGCTCCATTTTGGGGTGGTGGGAGGTTGATGGAGCTGTAGGGGACCGTGCCGGGTTGGAGGTGCAGCTCTGCGGACCGTGGTTTCATGGCACTGCCCGTCCACAGTGCTGGCTCCCATTGCTCGGTTGAGTGGTGGGTGACATCGTCATGGGAACAGGGAATTCATAGCAGCTTTCCCAATCTTTAATGATGCTCAGACAAAAAGTCTGCAAGAACATGGACAGGTATGTCAAATCCCAAACTAAAGGGAAGTCCCTGCACAGGAGATACTAGGAGGTGGCATGAAGACAAATCTTTGGCTTGTTTGACAGTATGCCAGGCTGGGCACCACCTGCTGGGATGGTGAAGCTGTGTCGGTCAGAGGGGCTTTGTGGGGCATGTGCAAATGCTTTGCTCTAGTGTGCAAATACTTCTCTTCCTGTTGCAGCCATGGAGACCACAAGTGACATGAGGGCTGTGTTCCTAGTGCTGCTCCTCTGGGCTGCAGCCTGTGCTCACCCTGTAAGTACCCACTGCACAGGTACTCAAATCCCAAACCCCAGCAATTTTGCCCAGCTGGGGTGCACTGCTCAACTGCTGGTCGCTCATCAAATGTCTCCTGGATCTCCTTAGGTCCCCAGCCATGAGCCCGCCCACCCCTGCCGCAGCGCCCAGCAGGAGGTAAGCTTTGGGGTGCCCTGGTCCTGCAGGTGGCAGCTGCTGGCAGAGCAAGTCTGCAATGGGGAGCTAGCCCTGGGCAGGTGTCTTGGGACTGGGCGCCTGGGGGAAGAGCTGCTGCTTTTGCAGGCCTTTGAGCTTTGCCCATCTTACTCCGTCTTTCCAAGCTCTTTCAGCTCAATTTCGCCTTGCCTCCCTATGCACCGTCCCAATTTCCGTTACATGTTGTGCTGCATTGGTCCTGAAAAAGTGCTTTTCTTACTCCAAACTGCCACAGTTTGGGCTTTTCTGGATTGCTTTTTTGTTGGTAGCTGTTTCTGTGCATCAGCAGAAACAACTGAAGGGCTGAGATGCAAGCAATGACAAAGACTTGAGCACTTACATGGATTAGGAGCAACGTGTTGTCCTTCAGCAATAGCAGTAAATGTGCAGTGGCATTTAATTAACCAAAGCACTGTGTCATGTTTTTCTTTCAGGACACAGCAAGCAAAGATGACATCAATGAGCTGGGTGACCTCCTAGGTGGTGGAGGTGGCAGACACCCTCCTGCCAGTGTGGAGAGGGGGGGCAAAAGCCTTGCTGGGGACCCAGCAAGTAGGAACACTGTGGGCAAGGAGCTGGGCAAGCTTGACAGCCGAGACGAGGGAGGCAGAGCTTGGGAGGCTCAGCACCTGAATTGGGTGGACCATGAAGACACAAATGCCTGGGATGGGAACAGCCTTGGTTTCCTGGTGAGTGAATGGAAAGGGGTGTTTTGGTCCACCAAGAAAGCATGTTGAGTCCCAGATCTGGTGTCAGTCAGGTATCGCTTGGCCTGCGTGGCGAGCGGCACCAATAGCACCTGTGATCTGCAAGCCTTTGCAGTCATCTCCCTTTGTCATCTCCTTAGGAGGAGGATGCACATGATGCTGATGATGGTAACAACAGAGAGCACCACAGCACTGGAGGCAATGGGCTTCCCTCTCATGCCGACGGGCTCCTGGATGAGGAGGATGACAGTGGAGATGACACCTTCGACGAAAATGGGGAGGCAGAGGGTAGTGAAGGTCCTACTTACGTGGCTGGTGTCAACGGGGCGGGCGAGCATGGCCACGGCGCTGGCCATGAGGATGCTGGGGCTGGCCGAGGGCACGATAGCAGCAGCAGCAGCAGCAGCGAGAGCATGGGTGCAGACCACCGGCAGTACAGGAACTACCATGGTAGCTGGTATGAGCGGACCTACAGGCGGGGAGGGGGCAGCAGCAGCAGCAGCCAGGAGGAGAGCTACGACTTCGATGACAAAGCCATGCAGGGCGATGACCCCTCTGTCTTTGACAGCCCGCACAACAGCTACAAGAGTCGCCATGCTGGCTCCCATGCCCGAGGGAGCAGCTGGGAGAGCAGCCGGGGGGGCAGCTCCCACCACTGGGAGGATGGTGACAGCAGGTACCTGGAGGCAGTGGATGCTGACTCAGAGGAAGACAGCCCATCCCCAGAGGACAAAAGTCCATTGCCAGCCAGTCAGAGGAAAACAGCACCAGCCGCTCCGGGGAGGATGGGGAAGGGGAGGACAGTCGCTCCAAGGAGGACGAGGACAGCAAGTTCAGGAAAGGTACCACTGACCAGTCGGATGAAGATCTGAGGGAGTCCCTGGGGGACATGTCCCAGGAGGTGGTGAGCACATCAAGTGAGCGCAGTGGCAGCCAGTCCCAGGAAGGGCAGGAGGACTGGGAGTCTGTCGAGGACAGGAGCGCACCCTCTGCGCCCAAAAGTGAGTCTGGGGAAGATGAGGGTGATCAGAGTGAGTCTGGGGAAGATGATGGTGACCAGAGCCAGTCCACAGAGGACACTGTGAAAGAGTCAAGGGAGGATGGGAACGACTCTGCCTCTGATGAGGACATGCTGAGCACATCAGCTGAGAGCCAAAGTGCATCCCCTGAGGACACCGACAGCCAAGAGGATGATGCAGGCGAGGACAGTAGGTCCATGGAGAGCAACAATAGTGAGTCCCAGGAGGATGGTGATGATGACGACGAGGAGAGCCACTCCCAGGAGGATGCCACCCGTGAGTCCAGCAGCCACAGGGATGACAGCTCGCTGCAGAGTCTGGAGAGTGGGAGCCGCAAGCGGCGGCCAGGTGCCTACCGCAACAAGCCTGCTGTTGACTACGATGACAATGACTGCCAGGATGCGTACTGACACATGCCCTGCAGCCTCATCAGTGCTGGGGATACAGGGGGAGGAGGGGGTTAATTTATTTTCTATATGGCCTGGTTGACTTCTTTCTGAGAAGATGCTGTGGACAAAATGGAGATGAGTTTGCCAGGGCTTGACCTGGCCACACAGCATTGGGCACAAAGTGGGAGGAGATGCTGGACATGGGGAAAATGCCAAACTGCAGCGAGAAGAGCCATTTGTAATACTAAACCAGAGAGTGGCCAAGAGCTGTGAGTGCCAGGAGGGTGATGCTGCCCATTTGCCTCGAGAGCTTGGTGGTGGCTGGGCACCCCAGAAGCTGTGCCCAGGCAGGCCTGGCAGAAGGGTCTCTGTGCTCACCCCTTCTATTTACCTATTCCTGTCCTAAAAGCATCTGCCCAGATGATAATGGGAGCTTTCTGGTAGCTCCATGTCCTGCACATAAGGAGAAAAAGCTACACCTGATGTGTGTGCACAGCACGTGGGCTCAGCGGTGTGTGGAGTACCACTTCAGGATGGGCCATTTGTAATATTTTGTAAGAAATGTACAGAAAAAATTATATTGTATTCTTTTTGCCTTGATGGTACTTGTATTTCAAAGCTGAAATGTACCCTGTTTTCCTTAATTACCATTAAAAACGTCAGACTCCACAGTGGTGTGGTTTGAGGTGTTGCTGTTTTTCTCTTCTAGGGGAGTTGGGTACTGTGATTTGGGGTTGGACTGGAGTAAGTCGGGAGCTGTAGTGTGTCAGGGGCAAGGAGGAAAGTAGGGGCTGAGGGGTGTTCCCACCCCCTTATTTCCAGGCACCCAAAGCAGCTGGGCCTGGGGTTTTGCTTTATTATGGCCATCACCTGCTGCAAGCCAGAGCTGTCCTGCTCTTCCTGAGGTGCTGGGAAGGAGGAGCCCCAGGATGCAGGAGGTGTCCCAGACCACCAGCACTGGGTGCTGCAGTGGTCCCTAGTGCCAGGACCCCTGCAGCAGAGACACACAGGTGAATGGAGAAAAAAGGGTTATTGCAGCCAGGTAGGTCGGGGTAAAGCCCCTTTTACTTAGTGTGCCTTTTTTTTTTTTTTTTATTTTCTCCCTACCAACAAGCAAGTAAATAACACATTATTTGTTTAAAAAAAAAGCTCATCCAGGCTCTTCTTACTTGTTCATGTGTGTAGGACAAGCTGCACAGCATGGGTATCAAAGCTGATGGAGGAAGCCATGGGCTGTTCCGTAGCTGCACAGTTTTGCAGCGTGGAGACGTGGCTCTGCAGGAACAGTCTCCAAGCGGGCAGTGTGGGGGGCTGCAGCATTTCAGCTGCCTTGGGTCAGTGCTGTCGTTGCTGGGCATTGCAATACTGAATTCAAGAACCAGTCAAGAAATAAAATATATTTTTTTACTGCTTATAGCAAAACTGCACTTAATCGGTAGACTTTTTCCATCACTACAAAAGCTGGGAGCTGAACAGCTCCTGGTTTCAGTGTAATTTAGGATTTAATTTCCACCTGTGTAAGCTTTTTCTGTTTCTGTAAAACATCAGCTCTGAAACACGCAGCTTCCCTGTGCTGCCACCCTGGGATCAAGCCTCTTCCACCCCACTCATCCCCACTTCGCAGTGGATACCTCAGCTGCGACTTGCCCCTTACTTTTTAGACCCTTTGCATCAGTTGTGTGCGAAGTCAGGGATGCTGTGATGGTGATGATGCCTGTCAAAGTTGCGGGTACCAAAACGCTGGTGCACAGCCCCATCACTGGGGTGAAAGACACGAAGTGCAGGTTTAGTTGCAGCCCAGAGGTGCAAAAAGGGCCGGGTGACAGCTGTTGCTCTGGTTAAAAGTTGCGGTAATATTTGTTGGCTCGTCGGCGCAGCAGTACGGGGAAGGGCGCTGCTGTGCGCTCTCTCGCGTCCAGCAAGCGGTGCTGCTGCTCGGGCAATCGGGACGTTTTAGGAGCTGGCTCCGCCACGGGGCGGGGTCTTGTGCCTGGGGCCATCAGAGGTGGTACTTGCATGGGGACAGCCGGTGAGGATGAGGACAAGGAGGGGGTTTTTTTGGGCCCCTCCTGGAAAGCGAAGACTGTCCCGCAGCTCTGTGGCAAGCTCAGCCTGTGGGCGGGGTGGCTGGGACATTGTGAGGGCAGGACGGTATGTGCTCTATGAAATGTTATTTTGCAGTTTATGCGTGACCCTCTGTCCATCCTTATCTTCCTGCTAGTGGCAGCGCTGCACAGCTGGGTAGGGGCTGCTTGCCTTCGCCCCCAGCAAAGGGGACAGAAAGTGCTTGTCCTCTTCTTGTTTCACGCACAGAGAGAAAACGGGGCTGATTTGGCTTTAGTTTGAGCAGGAGTGATGTGTGACTTGCAAACAGGGCATGTACCCTGTGGCATTCTGGGTGGCTGGAAGGGTGGCCAGCTGCATTCCCCCTGCATGTGGGTCCCCTTTCCCAGGAACGTGCTATGGTTGCACGTGTGTCCCTGCCAGCAATGTCTGAAATTTGCCTCCTGCTGGCTGGCTGCTCCTCAAAGGCCAGGGAGCTGGTGCCAGAGCTGGCTGCTGCCTGCCAGGACAGTTTCCCATGGGACTGGCCCTCACAGTGGGAAAACTCAGCCCTTTGCTGTGGGGAAACCTCCTGCCTGGCCACAGGGAAGGGGGCTGGTGCAGGGATGTGCCCAGTGCCTGGCAGCACATGTCCACAAGGATGGGCGGGTGTTTGGGGACACTGCTGGCACTGGGCTGTACCCACTCAATGCTGTGCACCAGTGTACAAGAAGGGCCACCTCGCTTGCCATCTGCTGCTCATTGGCAGGCAGCATTCCACAGGGTCAGGTTTTAGATGGCCAGAGATAGCATAGCCAAAAGAGGCTCACTTTAAGGATTTTAAGTAATTTTTAGTGGGAGCTTTTGTGTGTGTTTTTTGTGGCATGGAGACCTGTCTGCAGCAAGCACCTGAGAGGAGTGCTCCCACTCTTTGCTGTCAGGTAGGCAGGAAAAGCAGCTGGGAAGGTCAGCCATGGGCTCTACTTTTCCTGGAGGTGCCCCTGCATCACATTTTGGGCTGATTGGGTGATGAAATTGTAAGAGTCAGCTTGCCCAGTAGGTTAGGCAAGGATAAAAAATGCCCAAGTCAATGTATGCATTTTTCCAGTCCATCCATATGCATGTTGGGCTGCAGGGCTTTTCCTTGGCCCCTTTTTGTCATTAGCAAAATAGGAGTAGCTGTGGAAGAAACGATCGGTGACGTGGTCCCTTCCTTACCCCCTGTGATGGATTTTGATGACGGGAACTGCTCCTTGCCAAGCACGTGGTGAGGCTGGGGGAGTTTGCTTGCATTTCTCTGCCCTTTTCAATTGGGAGGAAAAAACTCTGACGGCATCACTGCTGCCGTCAATCTGAACAAAAGAAAAGTCTCAGCTGTGGGAAAACAGCCTCTGACGTCAGTGAAACCCCAAAACATGACAAACCTTTTCAATGCTATAAGGAAATTTTTCTTCCCGCTCCCTTCAATGTCATGCACTTGAATAGCAAATGGCAAAAAATTTTCATCCTCCCCAGCTCAACCATGTCCTTGGAGGTTTCTGGTTCCCCTAGTGTAGGCCCAAGGAGTTGGGCACCACATAACATGCAAGTGTTAGCATCCACTGAGGCTATGTGATACCTGTACTGCACCCCAAAATCACTATGGAGATGTAAAAGCTACAGAGTGAGCAAGTGGTTTGCAGTTCAAGATTTTCTGTTTTCACACGCTGAACTACAAAGCTGTAAAGGGCTTCTGTTTTGTTTTAGCAAAAGGCATCTGGTTTCTGTAAACAGGAGCTCAACCTGCAACTGGGGAGTAGAGGCAACACCTGTCCTCTCCCATCCAAGACCTGGTGCTGTTTCACCAGCAGAGCAAGAAGTAGGTTCATTATAGTGTGAAAGCTTTCAAAGCCAACTTTTTAAAAAATAAAATGAGTTTGATTGTTAAGGTACTTATTGCAACAGACACATACTTGTCTGTGTATGCATGGATAGACATACATGTACTGTGCAATTCAGGTATGTACGCAATAACGACCAGTGCTAGCTCAGCAGTTTCCCGCTGATACATGCAGTGCCCTCTGCCGTTGCTGTAAATAGCTTTTTTAAGCCCAAATGCAGAGGTTTTTTGCAGGTTCGAGCAGGGCATGCAGTGACAGGGAGGTAGGCAGCCATTGCCAGCACAGGGAACAGTGTGTCTCCACGCCTTCCAGGCTGTCCAGAGATGGTGATGTGACTTTGGCACAGAGCTGAATTCCTGAGCTGAGTGTGCAGGTTGTCAGTGGGTACCCCTGCAATGAACCTGGACTCTCTGCCTGCTCTCCTCCTGAAAATAGGGCCTTTTGGAGGGTTTATTTGGTTTTCTTTCTACTGTTTTTGTTGTGGGACTGTGTCTGGAGGCAGTGGACTGGTGGTGGGACCAGGCCCGGTAACTTTTTCTAGCAGGTGTGCAGGTTTTTCCCTTCTGAAAAAAAACAAAACAAACAAAAAACCCAGAGTAAATATATACAGATACTGCTCAAACACAATAGGACCTGGATGGTGGCAAGTGCTGGGATTTGTGATAACCCTGTGACCTTGCCTCAGTGATTTGCTGGGTTTCTGTTCAGCAGTTTAGGCTGCCTCAAACTGCAGGCATTTACAGAGCTATTTGTGATCTGCCTTTTTGCCAGGTGCATAAATAATTTTATTTGATTTCTTGCTTCAGAGAAAAGGCAAATCATATGAAATGTTAGTTGCAGAGGGCAAATACATAAAGAGTCTGTACTGATAACTGGGGTTGTCACATGCTGCATTTTAGGTTTTCTCCCCTTCTGCTTTTTTTCTAAAATCTACTGCTTGCAAAAAAATAACAAGCCTGGTGCCCAGCTGATGTTGGTTTGTATTTGGGTTTGTGCTGTGAGAAGTAAGGGAGATGACAGAGGGATCCCTTATTCTTATGCTGTTGCTGGCGCACTCTCTCTCTGCTTCTCACTTACATTCCTGGTTTGTGGCCATCACACACACGCTCCTCTTCCTGACAGCACCTTGGGAGAGCTGGGAGCTGGGGCAAGCTCTGCCTTCAGTGCTCCCACCTCCCCCCATTTCGGAGGTGCCCTGGCCACTGTGCTACATGGCAAAGGTGCTCCTTTTGCAGGCTGCAGCAAGCACCTCAGCCTCTTGCTGCTATGCTCAAAGTGTCCTTCTGGTTTTGTTTTCTTTACTTATTTTTGGCCTTAAGGTTTCCTTCCAGAGTAGCTCCAGGGTGTGGAAATAGGACAGTGCAGCCCTGACCGCAGTCTCAGCCCCATGGTGGACCCCAGCAGGCCAGGAGTGCACCGCTCTGCTCATTTACTGCCCTGCAAAAATAATAATTAAATTTGGACATAGGAGCTGTGTCAGCCTGCAGCAAACAGGGATGCTCCGACCATGAGGTCTCCGCAGGCTTGGGCAATTACAGCACAACTGTACACTCTGCCCCTGCCGTGCCATCCTGGGTGCAAGCCCACCCAGTTGCAGTGCAAAGCTGGTGCAGACCCCACCACCGTTGGGTCATGGGACCAATGTCAGGGCTTGGGCACAGCAGCAGCTGCTAGGGGGGTCTGTCATCATCTGCTGCTCATGGGCAGTGATGTGCCCATGCAGGGCTTGGGGAGTGGGCTGTCTGCCTCCCCCACTGGCTCTCGTGTAGTCAGCAACACAGCAGCGTACTGGTACACATTAAAAAGCTGATGGGAGTGCAGAAGGGAGACCACTGCATCTGCACATGTGGGCTGTACGCTGTGTGCTTGTCTCATCATGTCAATGTTTTTCCAAAAAATGTGGGTTTTTTTGTTGTCACCTGTTGGCACATGCCCTGGAGGCAGGCAACCGGTTTTGTGTTTTGTTTAAAGCTGTTTATCTACAAAGGCAACATTATTTTCATGAAGCAGACAAAAGAGTCACTCTTCTAAGTCCCACTGCCTTGGACAGCTGGAGTTCTTGCAAAAGCATTAAGAGACAAATGCTCCAACCCTGAGAAGTGATGCTTCAAAAAATTTATTTCTTATTATTGTTATTTTAAATTGAAGTGTTTTGGATGTGTTTGGCTGACTTCCCTTCTGGCATCTCCATGCATGGTGCCATGAGGGTTGCTGCTGCCTGTGGCCTGCCCAGGCAGTGCCTGCTCCCTGGCCTGAGAGCTAAACATAGGTGCTGGTTGCGCGAGGCACTTAAACACACGTTAATTATCCTGGTGCTTTTTAGGGATCTTGGGTGAAATACAGGTTTTTATAGTCAGCTTTCCTTTTTTTAAGTAGGTTGGAGCAGCAGCCCATTAATTACATTTAAAATCACCTCCCACGAGCACTCTCTGTTCTCTGGTTCTGATTAAAAATAAACTCAAAGCTTGGGCACACGCATGCTTCTGCAGGGCAGCCCCTCCAGCCACCCCAGCCCCACGTCCCTTGTGGTGCTGGTGTCTCTCTTTACTGGAGGCTGCTGCGTTGGCATCAGAAAAACTGCAGAGCTGGTTTGGGTTTTGGTTGGTTGAGGGTTTTTTTTTTTTGTGTGTGTGTGTTTTCCTGGCCTGAGGCACCCGCTGAAAGCCATGGCCAGCTCCAGGCCTCCCTTGTAATTATAGCTCCCCTTGCAGAGACACAACGGGCTTTGAAGCCCTTGGGGCAGTCACAGCTGCGGCCTGCAGCCTCAGGGTTTGCTGCTGGGACACTGGGGGGCTGCAAAAGGACCTCGCTGTCCCCAAAAGCATGTGATGTGCATGGCATTTCGTCTGCAGTTAGCAACTGCCCACCGTATACCTGTTGATGTGGTGATGACCAAGAAGAGAAAATAACACCACAAGAGAAAAAAAGCTTTGTCTTTCTGGTCCTATCCTGGGAACTTGGTTAAGTGGAAATCCTTTGCTTCCCAATCAAATTCAGACTCAAATTGGGCTCCCCTGGATGTGGGTGAGAGAGAGAGAGCAAGGAGGCAGCCATGGGACACACGTGTCCCCATCCCCTGCCATAGGGCGCAGGGCAGGAGGGCTGAGGACCAGCCACCTGCCTGCACTGGTGGCCATTACCTGCCACCAAGGTCCCTGCTGAACTTTGGGTGGCCGTGAGGGTAGACTCTTTGCAATATTTTGCCCCAGGTGGTTATTTTGCTTTGCTGGGGGTGTGTACAGAGCCACCAAGTTCCAGATGGGGAATAATTGATTTTGGGGAGCATAGGGCCCAGCTGGTTCCTGCATGGGTCTGTGCGGTTTGGGGAGCATGAGAAAAGTAGTTGTGCATTTTGTACCATTGCTGTGGCAGAAATAGCTCTCAAAGGGGGTCCAGTGACACCTGCATTCAAGTCCACTTTTCTTGCCCTGACATTCCCGAGGTCCATTTCACCTCTGCAGGCAGGTTGGAGAGGGACGTGTTCAGATTTAGCTTTTTTGTGGCTAGCAGCTATACCCAAGTGACTGTGGAGCTGGGCCTTCGAGGCTGGTCTTTTTTTTGTTGTTTTCTTGAAAAAACAGTGACAGAATTTCCCAAAAAGGGAGGTAGACACCCCCCAAGAACAGATTTCCCAATATTTATTTTATTTTAAATGCAGAGTGTTATTATACCCTTCGGCCTCCCAGACCCTTAATTAAGTGGTGCAGTGCAAGCCTCCCCGGGTTTGGCAGCGGTGTGGGGCGCTATGTTTGTGCACCAAATCTGCCAGCATTGAAATTTGGGGGGTTTTCTGGCATACAACAGGCTGGCGTCACTCCGGACAGGGCGGCGACTGGCTGGGAGTGGGGGTGGGGGTGGAAAAAATAGACCTTATATCCTGGCAGGGCAGCAGCAGAGCAAATCTGTGCCGGCTGACTCCACGGGTAGCCATCAGTGCTGCGGCAGGGTAAGCTTGGTGCTGCTTTTCCCAGCCAGGTTGTGCATGGCTGTCTAGAGCTTTGCAGGGTGACAGGGGTTGCTTGGGTTGCTGGTGGGCCTGGATGCTGCTTTTAGCCCTTTCCTGGGTCTTGCAGCTTCGTTAAGTGCTTGAGGCTCAGCTGGAGGGGATGTGCCTTGCTGCACAGCCAGAGAAACTCACTTGTGGCCAGTTGTTTTCAAGCCTGAGTTAAACAAAGATGGGGAAACTTCAAGTGCAGATTAATATAACAGTAACTCCCCTCAAACCTCAGCATGGCTGTTGATGGGTTTAGCTGGAGTAAGGGTATGAAAAAGGAAGGCTAATGGGCCTGGTTAAGCCCTGGGGAGATGCTGGGTGCGTGCTTCCCAGGATGGAGTCTGAGGCACTGCAGGAAGGGTCGGCCATGCTTCCTCTTGGGGCAGGTTTGGAGGAGGGCAGGCTGGACTTTGGTGCTTAGGGAGTGTAGCTTGAGCCTGCCCAGAGCCAAGTTTCCCCCAGATATGCCTATGGAGGGCTCCTTGCATTGCTGCCTTGCCACTGCTATTTCTGTCAATGTCACACCATAGAAGCTGATTATATTAATTTAATTGTTTGCTTATTTATTTTTCCTTGATATAGTGCAATTCCCAGGGGCATTGCTCCCCTGGGCAGATTCCAAGCAGGTTGCAGGGGTGTGGGAGGGCGGCCACAGTGGGCAGCGCTCCTGCTGGCTGCTCCTGTTGCATCTCCGGCGGGGTTTGGTTTTCCCCATTCGCTTGTAGGTGATGGGGAAGCAAAACTGAGTAGTCCTGGTCAGGGTAAGCAATTCATGTGCTACCGAGTGAAAGTTATTCTTCTGGTACTTTGTGACTTCTTGCAAAACCAAAATGTAATCATGGAAATTGAGGCAGATTAATCTAAAAAAAGAAGGACTTGGGTCTCTGAAGGGGTTGGGTGACTCCATCAAGAGCTGGCTGAGGTCAGCCTTTCTTCTCCCTGCTTGCCTGTGGAGACACAAACGCCCGTATGGTTTGGAGTAGCAATGGTGCTTTCTAGCTGAAAAGCAAGCCCTTGCCATGTTTTGCTGTTCCTAGAGAAAGCAGCCATGAGGACTGCCCTGGTCTTTGCTTGCCTGGTGGGGATGGCCTGCGCCTTTTCGGTGAGTGCCGGGCAGTGGAGGAAGTCCCTTTGTCCCCGTTCGGGCTGGTGAAGGGTGTGCATCAACCCAGTCTTTACCCCAGGTCAAGAGCTGGCTGCGGCGAGCCGAGTCAGACGACTCAGAAGAAAATGCGGTAGGGTCTCGCCCCTCACCCCTGTGCCCAACCCCACATGGCATTGGCCTTGAGGGAAGACATTTCAGTCATTTCCGTACCCAGGCCCCCAGGCTGATGGGATTTACACCTTTCTCCTCCTGGTAGGTGTTCAAGAACAGGCACCGGTATTACCTGCACAGATATGCCTACATGCATCCCCCACAGCGACGGTACCAGGTGGGTGCTTCAGAGGGACTGCTTATGCTTTCACTGTCTGCCAAATACTGAGCTGTCAGCCCAAATGAGATGAGGGGGCACAGTCTGCGCCCTGCCAGCCACTGGCCTACAGGGCTGGACTGAGACTATTGCACTTGTGACACCAATGGAGATCTGCCAGCTTGGCTACAGCTTGGTTTTCTCTCTCCTTAGGGCAATGACTCATCGGAGGAAGAGGAGGACAGCTCAGAGGGGGAGGACATGGGGGTGAGTATTCCTGCAGCCTTTTTCCCAGCAAACCAGCAGCCTGCAAAACAAATATGGGAATTTCGGAACTTTCTTTGGTTTTGTAGTCTCTGTTCATCAGTATTTGTGGCCCTGACCACCCACAGCCTTGCGCACTGGATGTAACTGGATTTTCTATCCTGGATTATGTTTTTTTTAATTATTTTTTGTTCTTTTTTTAGAGAAGATAGGTGGGGTTCCACCAAACAACCCTGAGACAAACTTTCCGGGTTTCCATTTTCAGTGGCTCAGAAAGGAGCAGGATGGGCCGAAGTGCAGAAGCAGAGAGGCTCAGCCCCCAGGCAAAAGGGGCTGTTAGGGCTCCTTATACCTTCCCCTTTTTGGGTGTGTTGCTCCCACAGAGCTGATAAAATTACTATGGAAAATACAGTTATGCTCTGCATACATGCGTGCAGAGGGACACAAACTGATGCTATATTGAGAAATGCACGTTTGTACCAAGCACTCCAGCTAGTGACTCTGCTTCTGTCCACTGGGTCAATATGAGCTTGGGCACTGCTGCATTTGCAAGAGTCATTCAGGTCCAAAATTAAGGGACAGGGATTACAAAGGTCTCTTGTGCCTCACTGGGCTGCAAACGCTCAAAAATAATCCAGTGCTCTCAAGCACACAGGTGCTTTGAGACAGGGATCTTGTATCTTTGGAAACCTGTATACCAGGCCTATTCACATTTAAAAAAAATAAATTAATTATTTTAATGCCAATTTCAGGGGCCTTTTTAACAGGAGTGTAAGCCTGGGCACCTGGCATTAAAACCAACCTTGGGGCCCTGGGGCCACTATGCAGCACAGGAAGCGCCACCCCCCTCTGCTAGACCTGGCACCTCTCTGCAATTTGCCCCTTTCTGCTTGTTGTTCTTCCCTACCACTGCAATCACTAGGGATAATCTAGAGTAGTGGGATGAGACAGCCAAAGGGGGAATTTCATTCCCAAGGAAGAAATTAAGTGACGTGCAGGAACAGAGTTGCTGTTTGTAGCTACTCCTTTTGTTTCAAGGACATCAGCACAGTGGCCATTCCCAGGCAGGGTTTCTGCATGGCTTTGTGGGTAGGGGGTGGCCAGAAAGGTAAATCATGATGAAAGGCCCCAAGGTCAACAAGGTGTAAACAGCACCATATAACAGCTGCTGGATGTGGGGGAGCATTGCTCCCATCAGCACAGCCAGCTGCACAGTGCAGTTTTAGAGAGGAAAACAGCCTGAGTTTTCACTAGCACCAGATGTACCAGTATTTTAAGCATCTGAGTTTGCCCAAAATGCCAAGGTGTGTGCTTTTTGTCTTGGCATGTAAGCAGTGGGGATAGCCTGCGGCAGGGATGGCAGTGTCCCCATGTTTCCCTTCCACGGCTGGGTTTGTTTGTGGGTGGCAAGGTGCTGCTGCTTCTCCTCCCAGGCTGGGGGCTGGGCAAGCTGCCTTAGTGGTTACTCCAGGCTCTGCTTGCATTTGGGTCATTAATTGTCTTTTTTAGCAGCATGGACTGCTGTGCACATTGCTGAGAGACCTGCTCTGCTGCATGGTCTCTGGGGCCAAGTGGTACTGATGGCTTACTGCTGGTGGGATTGGGGCTCATACCTCATGTGTAGCGTGTAGTGCGCATGTAGTGCACCTGTGGCTTTCTCTGTTTATTGGAAACTGGGAGGGAAAATTTCAAAAGCAAATCTTCATATGCTTTGTTAAGCAAAATGCATAGCCAGAACACCAACACCCAGCTCCAGCCACCACTGCTTAATTGCATGGCTTGGGCTGCCCTCTTGCAGCGTCTTGATTTCAGTCTGGGATGAGATCCATGGGAAAGCAGGAAACTTGGAGCAGTGCCTAAATGGGGATGCTGTGTGCCCCTGTCACTGCTGGAAAGGCTGCTCTCTGCTTCCACTGCTGACCGCCTGCCTCATCCTCTCCCTGTCCCTGCAGGAACAGACCCACGCTGGCACTAAGGCAGCTGGCCACTCTCCCGGAGCAGCCCCTGGGGACAGCCAGAGTGGGCTGGGAGGAGACATTGCATCCCCCCAGGAGGTGCGGTCTGGGGGGCTTGAGGGGAGGACCCATGGTGGAGGTGTTCACTGCATTCCCACTTGCACCCATGGGATGCCCTGCACCCCATTTCTGTTTGGGGACTCGCTGAGCAGGAGGCCCATGGCTAGGCCAAGCTCTGGGACCCAGTGGGAGGGTCAGAAGGGGCACCCCAAAAAGGTAGCCTTACTAATGCATTATTTCCCATTGCCAGGGTAAGGGCTACCAAGGGCCCCAGCAGTGGGGCAGGAATGGTGCTGCTGGCAAGGGAGATGACTCTGAAAATGAAGACAGTGACGAGAATGAGGAGGAGGAGGAGGTGGAGGAGGAAGAAGTAGCTGAGAATGAGAACGCTGTCAATGGCACAAGCACCAACACCACTGAAGGGGCAGACAGACCTCATGGCAACAGCACCATGGCAGCAGAGGAGGAGGAGGGAGAGGAGGAGGAAGAAGAGGAAGAGGAAGAGGAGGAGGAGGAAGAGGAGGAGAAGGAGGAGGAAACTGAAGTCACCACTGTTGCCAGCACCACCAGTGAAGACAGGCTGTCCCAGGCAACCACCACAGAAGATGGGGGACCCACGTATGCCACCACAGCCAGGGAGCAGTGGGAGTATGAGGTGACAGTCAGAGGCCAGGGGGAAAAGGGCACCACCGATGGCAGCTATGGGGAGCAGGATGAGTACATCCACGGGGACAGCTACCGGGCCTACGAGGATGAGTATGGCTACTACAAGGGGCATGGCTATGATGTGTATGGCCAGGATTACTACTACAGCCAGTGAGCGCTTGGGGGTGGCCGTCGTACTGCCCCTCCCCACTCAGGAACATGCATCCGAAGGCTCACTGCAGCTGCTGCGCACCCAAGGGGATGCTAGGTGGCTTGTGGTGCACACCGGCTCCATCCCAGGCTTATTTTTGTATCTCATAAAGCAAAATGAAATAAAAAAACTGAACTGAGCTTGTTCATAGTGAAGGGTTTGCTGCTGAATTTGCTGGGGTCAGTGGGGCCAGCATGGTGCTTGGTGGACTGAGGGGCTACAGGTGCTCAAGCTCCTCAGATAAGGTTTAATCTCTTTATTCCAACTCAGATGTACACAAAAGAGGCTAACTAGGAAAGCTTCTGTAGAGTAGCATCCCCTCTGAAAAATGGAGGGGCATATTTAGGGTCACTGCTGTGGGATTACTGCCGTATTTTATGTAAATCGAGTAGAGCCGATGCGAATTTGCAGTATGTGAGTGATAGTAGCTCCTTAGTCACATGTCTCCCATGGCCTGACGAGACAGCGGACAATATTAATAAAGACATTAATTTATATTTCTGTGCATCACCAACTGTAGATGCATACTGCTATAATGAGAGCTTTGCTTCTGTATCCCTGGGCTGAGCATATGGGTCCCACCAAGGCCAGGCACCTCAAACATGCATTTCAGACACTGGTGCTGCAGCCCAAAACAATCCATGTCTCTCCCAGCCATGCAGCCTCATCCCCAGGGCAAGGTAGAGCTGTCATGGTGACAGTGGTGCACCTGCTCAACTCCTCCATCAGGGATGGGGACGTCCAGCTTGTGGTTCCCAGCACATCCTTGCCCAGAGTCACCTCTCCATAGGAGTGTGGTCCCAGCCACATGGGGATCAGTGCTAGGGATGGGGAAGGACCAAATTCCACTGGGCTTCAAGCAGGGGCCCACATTTAGGAAAAGCAGTGGCTCTTGTGTACCGTGCTGGCTACTGCCACAGGTTATGGTGGGTACTGTGCTGTCCTTGTACTCCTGGAAAAGAAACCTGTGTTCAGCTTCTGATATAGGTCCGACTGCAAAATGATTTTCTATTCTCACAGCAGTGAGCTGCTGGCTATGGTCCAAAGCCACCTCCATGCACCAAAGCTGGGCTGCAGCTGCCAGGGTGGCAGGGGATGCTGCCTGCAGGGTGGGCACTCCTGGGGCCAAGTCTCTCCTGCGGGCACCATGGAGCCCTGCACATGCTCACATCCAGTGGGCAGGACATGAGAGCCTCACCATCCACATCCCCAGATGGTGCCCAAAGACGTCAGGGAACTGGCATGGACAAAGAGCCCTGGCACTGCTGGGGCTGGGTCCTGCTCTCATGGGGTGCCCAGCCTGGCCCCATGTGCGTCAGCCACCCTGGCCCTAGGCACCTAGCCAAAACTCTGTCTCCCAGAGCTGAAGTGTACCAGCCGCTTTGGTACCAAGAGGGGAGCTGTCGACCACAGCCCATGGGAAGGGGGACGTTTCTTCCTGGTTCCAAGGCTTGCTCCCACCTGAGACTGGATGCTGATGGTTTAACCATTTCTGACGTTAATGCAGTGGTCATGCCCACTCTCAGGGTTTGGGTCAGGGCAGGGTGGTAGGTGGGATGGGGGCTGCTGTCACTGTCACTGCAATAAGTGGTTGAGCCAGGCTGGGCGCAGTGGTGGGAACTCCCTTTGGCATACACGTAGGTGACCAGCAATACCACCAAGGCTAGAGGGGGGCAGGAGGACAGTACATACATTGTGCACATCCTTGTAACACCCTCCTGCAGCAAAGGTGGGCTCCAAGGGACCTGTGTCAGCAGTGCATGTTGCTGGTTTTTTTTTTTCCTTTTCTACTGTTCTTCTATTTTGCCCTTACGCCAGGCTTAGCATCGGAGAGGTTGAGTTTGAAACCCGAAAAGCAAGTGTGTGGGGCTACGACATGGCAGTGTCTATTGGCTTCACCAGCACTGCCCTGTGATGACAGTTGTGGCCACAGTCAGACCAGGCTCAGTATATCACCTTTCCATTTCTGCCTCCCTGCCATCTTTCCACGTTGGTCACGGTGAGCATGCTGTGACCCACTGCACTTCCTCTTATCAATAACTGGGCTGGATGCGCGCCATACTAAGATCTGTGCTAATCATCGAGCAATTTCGCCTTCAGAACAGGTATTTATAAACTATACTTTCTGTTTATCCAGCCAGGTGGAACATTTGATAGCTGTCTTCTACCACAAACACATTTTTAGCTGGAAATTACTCCCCCTGGTTAACTGTGGGCACTGCCAGCCCTGACAAATGTCCCTGGGCAGCAGCTGATTGGCTCCACGCACCCGGGGCCAACTTTAAATTTCAGCAAAGTGGGCACAGCCTCCATGGTCTGCTGCTGGGACCTGCCTCTGACAGCGAAAGGTAATCTCCTTACCTAGCTTTCCTGCCCTGTCTCTCTCACCAGTCCTTCAGCTCTGCCCTCCTCAAGCAGGGCATCTCTGACTTTCTGGGTAAGCTGTGGTGGGACAGGGAGGCAGCCTGAACCTTGGCTCTGTGCATCTCTGTGTCGCGCTCTCTCGAGCCTACCTTGCTTTGTACTGCTGAGCTTCCTGCATTACTTTCCTTCAAATGTTTTCTGTAGCAATGCTTCCATGACGAAAATACTTTCCAGGCTGGAACTGCCAGCCACAGCCAGGGCCAATGAGTGAAATGAGAATTATTAGCCAACAGAGCTGTTGAAAACAGTGTGCAAGTTTCTTAATTCAGACTTATGACTGTATGACTTAGCCTGCAGCAGGTTTAGTGGATGTTTAATGAAAATATCCACCCAGACCACTTTGACAGAGAGAGCAAGTTGAGAAGCTTTAATGCCTGGTGTCAAGAGCAACCTGCTCAGTGCTGCTGGCCATGCACATTGCCTTGCTGCACATGGCAATAGCATTGCCTTTGCTGTGAGGGGTGCAGGGAGGCAGAGTGATTCCAACGGGCACTGCAAAGTCCAGGGAAAGCCAGGGTGGCTGGATAACCCTGCCACCATGAGGGATTTGGAATGGCAGGAGCTTTTGGGATGCTGCTGACCAGGACTGTTGGAGATTGCAAGTCCTGGGAAGACAAACTCCGATGATGCTTTGCTTTGTGCCCCCAGGAGCTGTCCAAGATGCAAACAGCCCTTCTGTGCCTGTGTCTGCTCAGCACAGTCCTCTCGGTGCCCGTGAGTATGGCTCTCCCTGGCTTCTCAGCATGCCACTGAAAGTGGAGGGTGAACTACCTGGTGTGCCTGGGCAGGCTTTCAGCAGCAGGAAAATATGAGTTTTACATGCATACAGCACCTCTGGGGTTTGGGGGTTTTTTTGAGGTGCTGGCATAGAGGCAAACCCAGCAGAAAAAATATACTAGCACTGATGTGCCTGAGAACATCCCTTTAATTTAGTAGTTAGGACATTGTGCAAGGGCCAGTCTGGGTGGCTGTGCCCTTGATTTCTGTGGATTTGAGATCTGCCCAGAGCTTTTGGCCTGGGAACAGCCTGAGCGGAGCCACAGGAAGGGGAGGATGCTCACCTCACCCATGCAGGCAGGGGTTGGAGGGGTGCTTGCAGTTGTGTTCCAGCTCTCCTAGTGTGAAATTCAGACAGGTATAACCCAAACAAAGGGTGAACTAAGATAAACATAACAGCAGCTTCTTTTGTCCTGCATAACTGTTGCCCAACACAGCTAGAGTAAAAAGCTGCTCTTAGTGAAGGCTTGTTTTTCTGGCAGGGTAAGGGGAAGGGAAACCACATCTTCTTCCCTGAGGGCTGGGCTCCTGCACGTGTCCTTTAGCCCCTAGAGCAAGCTTGCACAACCAGGTCTGTTGCAGGGCAACATGGGCCAGGGATGGGGGGAAGGCAATAAATCAGCACAGATTTGCTTTTCAGATAGGGGCACAGAAGAGAGCTGGTCATGCAAACAAGGCTGTAACCCAGCCCTTGACATTGTTCACAAACAATGGAATAACCCAGGAATATTTAATACTCTGGGGCACGTTTCTGCCCATTTCAGCTGGGCTTGGAATGCTTCAGCAGCTGATAATGCTGAGACTGGAGGGGGCTCCCCTCCATGGGGCTACCTCCCTCCCTGACACACAGGGAAATGCCCCCAAATAGCTTGGTGGGTCCATGGGATGCTCACACCTCCCAGTCCTCCGTCCCCAAGGGATGCATTGGCCAATATGTCCCAAAAGATGCCAAGATAATCAGGAGACGACGGAAGCTTGCGAGCACATGCAGAAACCTGGCTGTGAGGGCACAGGGGTTGCTGCTTGGTCACCCAGCAAATGCTGGGAATTGCTCCCAGATAACCAGCTCCAGGCTTCCAACACAGATCTATAATTTGGAGTGTTGGGGCATGAGCCCAATACGATGTATTGAAACTGCTCTGCAATAAAAATACTGCATCAGAATGCAGGAAAAGGGTATTTGCAAACCAACAATATCCTATTAAAAGCAACATACAACAGCATCCTGTAGCCGAATTTGCAATACTTTTCAGACCCTGAAAATGTGGTTTTGACCTTTCCTACTATTGCTGCCTTTAATCCAGCACTACAGGTAGTGCCTGCCAATTTATTAGTGTACCAACACTGTTTTCCCACCCTTCTCTGGATGCTGTAGCATGCTAGGTAGGGCATGGGTGGGCAGCTATCAGTGGGTATTGGTGGATGTCTGGATGCCAGGGCAGCATTTGACGCCTCAGTTCTTGCTTGTGTTTTGCTGCCCACAGGTGCCGCCGCTGCCCAGGAGAGCTGCCAGGAACTGCGTGGGACAACACCGGGTATGTCACTACCCCAGGGTGCAGTGAGAAAGTGCTGCTTTCAGAGGACAGTGAGCTGCAGAAAAAGAGGGGGCCCAGTGGTTGACGGGGAAGTGAGAGAGAAATGTTGTAGGGGCCCCTAATGAAGGGCAGGGGAGGGGAAAGGTGTGATGTGCTCAGGCAAGGTGAGGGCCCTTCCCTCCAGCTGCTTCTCTGCACCTGCCCAGCCATGGCACAAATGCTTTGTGGTTCCACAGATGAGGTTATAAAAGTTGTGGACTTAGCTGCTACAGGGTTTTTTCAAGGCGTATCAACATCAAATGCATGAACAGCAAAATTCAGATAAGTAGAGTGGAAGAATATGCCTGGTTTTCCCTATTGCAAACCAGCTGCTGTCCTTCCAGTGCTTTGGTCACTCATGTCTGATGGGACCATCAATCACGTCGTTTATTCAAGCATACATGCTGCCTTGCAAAAAAACCCTCACAGCTTCTGAAAGCAAGCAAAGGCAGAAAACGAGCCCTGGGGGAAGCCAAACCCTGGAGCCTGGAAGGCAAGAAAATGTGTCCTACCCAGGTCCCTGCCCGTGCTGGCAGCCACAAGGTGATGGGAGAACTGGTGCCCCAGGTCCCAGTGGGTGCTGACACAATCCTGCTGTGGTGCCAGGCACAGCAGGGGAAGCTCCTGATACCACTTTTAATTTTCAAAAAAGTGAGTTTCACATTTTTTTCTTCCCTTCCCAGATACTGCTGAAAGGCTGCAATGCCAAGCATGGCTTCTATGTTTTCAAATACGTCTACTCGTTTTCAACACGGAGGAACCAGACACAGATAGAGGTGAGGAGGTGGCTCGGTGGTGCATCAGGAGCCCAGCTCAAGTGTGGTGCCTCACACAGCTGGCAGGTGCTGGGTCCAGTCCTGACCTCTCCCTTGTGTGCCTGTGTGTGTTGTGCAGAAGGAAGAGGCTGCCAGGCAGAGCACTGGCCCCAGCCACCAGCCAGGCAAGGACAATGCCGCTCAGGGGCCGACAGAGGACAGATCAGCCCTGGAGCGACATGATTATGGTGGCACTGACATGATGGAGAACAGGACTGGCCTCAAGACTGAAAACCGTAGCAGTCCAGCTGTTGGTGAGGATACCCATGGTCCTCGCCCAGGCACCAGCACTCAGGCGCGTAGTGGCATTAGTGTTGCGAGTCCCACCCCAGACAGCTCAGAGGGCAGTGGAGACCTGGATTTGGTGGTTGAAGTCGACAGTGATGTTTCCATCCTCCCCCAGGGTGGACACACCAGTGGGACTATGGCAGGAAACAGGTCTGGTATCGGGAGTGGAGATGGGGATGACAGTGCCCTGAGGGAGGTCCCAGTGGAGAGGGCTATGACAGCTGGGAGGGAGCGAGTCCCTGCCACTGGAGGGGCTGGGAATGAGGGTAGTGGCAAGGCCACCATCCCCAGCCACAGGCAGGAGGGTGCCATGCAGGGTACAGTGATGGAAAGGGCCACTCTTACCTCTGTCACTGAGAAGATGGATGATGTTCAAGTTAATGCCAAAGGTGTGGATGAATATGCCTACATTCCTGACTCAGGCATTGTCACCATCACCCAGGAAAAAGTGGGTAGCACTGCAGGGGGCACCAGCTTCACCCAAATCTCTCCAGACACAGACAATGAGGTCAACATCTTCATCGGGAGGGCCAACCTCCACATGGGGGAACAAGAAACAACCCTGGCTGGTGCCACCGTTCGCAGCAAGGATGACAGCATCTCCACCATGGGGACCAGCAGCCCCATGCCCAGGCTGGGTGTTGCTGCTGCACACGATGGCAATGATGATGATGGCATCCCTGCTCACAGGCAGCCCAAAGGCCCAGCCACCCCAGCCACCCCAACACATTAGGAAGGACAGCCATCCTACAGCAGACGATGAGGATGGTGCCACCATTATTGGTGATGGAAAAGGACCGGTGGCCCCCAGACACTGGAGGGTTGCTGGTGGTGATGTTACCATCCCCACGGGAGCTGGTGGCCATGGGGACAATGACAAGGAGGTGAGAGGTGAGAGGCAGAGGTTCAGGGGGAGGCTGGGCCATCCAGCTGTCACCACCCCCCACCAAGGGAGTGGTGAGGAGACTGCCGCTGCCATCCCAGCGGGGAGTGCAACTGTGGCCTCCCCCGAGGAGAGTGAGAGGGACTGCACCACCACCCTTGGAACGACCAGTGACCACAAGGCAGGCAAGAGCACTGTGGCAGGGAGAGGGGGGAGCAGGGAAGTGGGGCCAGCCACCGCCCAGCCCCGTAGGGAGAGCCAGTCCAGTGCAGGAGCAAAGGTCTGGCCAGAGGGAGCTGGGCTGGAAAAGCCACCCAGCATGGACAAAATGCTGGCCTTGCATGGGAAAGCTGGCAACCAGGCATCGAGCAGGGCCCAGGGAAGTGCCAGTGGACATGGCAATGATGCCAAGGGGAGGCTGCACACCACCAAAACAGGGGGCAGCCCCCGTCTGCAGGCAGGGGGAGCTGGGGGTGGCATGGCAGTGGGTGAAGGCCAGGAGTGGGGCCGAGATGGTGGGGCCAGGGTGGTGCCAGCTGGGGCTGGGAGTGGCCACCTCCCTGGGCACCGTGGCAGGAGGCTGGGGAGTGCAGCGCAGGGGGCATTCACAGCACTGGGCCACAGCAGGCAGGTGGATCAGGTGAAGCGTGCCAATGAGCTCCATGTCCGGGAGCAGGCCTTTTATGCCCTCAGCAGGGTGGGGAATGGCCCCAGTGGCCCCTATGCTGCCCTTGGAAGTGCTGACAGCAGCCAGTCCTCTGAGGGGGAGCAGGGCAGCCACAGTGACAGCCGACAGATGGGACTGCAGCCCTCTGGATGGGGGGCCCCAGGGCACCTTCACAGCCACTGGAGCCAGGGGGCCCGCTGAGGGGCTGCTGGCATCCGCCCCAGCCCTGTTGGGCTCCAGTGGAGGAGTCAGGGGGTCCCATGAGTCATCCTTTCGCAGCATCCCCACTGCAGTGCTGCTCTTGCTTGGGCAAGAGGCGCTCTGAAAATTGCTGGGGGTCTCACAGTCGCTCACAGCCCAGGAGCCAAAATAGAGCAGTTCATGCAATCCTGCTGTTAATTTTGAGGGAGGCTGCATCCGGCCCTGAGACAGCAAGTGCATGGGTTTGCTGTAGATAAGGCATGCTAGACAGACATGTAACAGCAGTCACACTACAAGGCATAGGGTAGTGTTGGTCATGCACTGATGCAAAGCGGGTAAATAAAGGGTGAGAAAAGACCCCCATCCTCGCGGTTTCACTTCCAGCCTAATGGAGCAATAAAGGCATTTCTATACTGAAGGCTCTGTTGACTTTGGTGTTTGCAGTGGGACTTCAGACAGCTGCTTTGCTGCAAGCAGCATGTTGCAGGGGTGCTGGTCCTGCATACAGTGAGGGTTTCTGGTCCCAACACACCCCTGGCCCTTTCATCACTCCTGGGGCTGCAATTTGGCCACTCCACCCTTGAGGTGTCTAACTCTACTGGCTCCTTTCCAGGGCCAGCCTCCTTGGGCAGTTTTTACTGGGGAGCCCCACAGAGCATTTTTCCCCTTGGCTCGTCCATCACCTGCAGTAAGAAATCCCCATTGTGTCCTCCAGCGTGCTGTCAGAGTGCTTACAGACTCACCGCCCTTCCAACAGCACCCTAATGTGCCAGCCATGGGGCTGCCATTCCCACCACTGGCCCCCACACAGGAGCTGGGCTGGGTTTCGACATGCTGGAGCCGTGTCACTGACGGTGCCCAAAGTTAATCAGTGTTTATACAATTGCAGGTTGCTTTTTCTGTCTGAGAAGCTGCTAAAATGGGTGCACCCGGCAGCACACTGGAGCAAACAGCACAGCAGGAGTGGTATTGAGCCCCATACTCCCCATGCCTTCAGCATGCACAAGAGGGGACCCCCCGCCAGCACAGCACCCATGTGGGGAGAGGGGGTGGGAGCAGCTAAAAACGTCAGTGATGTACCCCCAGCACACCTGCTTGCCTGCCCTCTGGATGGCTGCACATGGGAAAGGGACAAGTCCTGTTTTGGGTCAAACACTGGGTTCTTAGGGATCATGCACAGGTGATTGCTGGGACCACCAGAGCAAGGATAACACTGTGCATCTCACTGCAGCTATCAGTAGAACCAGCTACTGGGGCTATGCCTTGCTAAGCTTCTGTGCTCCAGCAGAAATAATAAAAAATTGCATGTGCCCTCTACGTTCCACACTAGAGAAAGTCCACAGTGCCTCCAAGGAAGCTGTGACAGGCAGCCCAGTGCTGTTGCTGCTGGGACATGGAGATTTAAGCAGCCTCGGGTGGGAGTTTGCCTGCAGCCTCCTGGGAGCGGGGCAGGATCCATGAGACCCCCAAAGGCTCAGGGACCTCCTGTGTCAGCCCAAATGGCTCAAAGTGAAAGGTGCTGCAGGGCTGCTCATAGCCTGGACTTGGCAATTTGCCCCTGGCATTGCCATGGCTTGTCACACCTCAAATTTGATGGACCACGGCATTGCTCCAGGGAGATGGGGTCTGGTTTCTACTTTTGCCTGGCAAATGAATGGTATGGGTTTGGAGTCTCACTGCTGGCAGTGCTGGGACTGGTGGGTTTGCAGCTGCATGGGCACCCCAGTGTGATGCTCAGCCACTTCAGTACTCAGTCCTGACCACATTCTTGTCCATGTCATTAAGCAACATTCATAAGCAAGGGCTGGGCACCATCTAGTGGATAAAAAAGCCTTTTGCTGGAAAAGTTTCATACTGTTGAATGATGCCCAGCTCTGCCTGGTGCCAGGACAGGCACTGCTGCCCTCTTGCCCTGCTGCTTCCCCAGGCTCCCAGGCAGTCCTGCTCTAATGGTGAGGTCGGGTATAAAACTGGCTAGTTCAGGTATAAATGTCATATATTTATAAAACAGCACCACCTCCTTGCACAGCTGCTGTTAAAGCACCTGGATTTTTGTGCAGTGACTCTGGTTCTATGTCCTGGGCCACATGGCATTTTGGGATTCTCACCCCAAGCCCCCTCTTCACCACCACTGGAGTGCCTTGCTGTGCTCTTCCAGAAGTCACTTGCCACATAGCACAACTGGCCACCAAATGAAGAAGCTGCATGTTTCCCCTGGAAAAGGGGTTTCCTAGAGTATTGGAGCAAAGCAGAAAGGTGTTTTTTCCTTTCAGTGAAGGCTTGGACTGATGAGTGCTGGCAGAGTGGGAGCTCATAGGGTGGCTTGCTGCCACCCCTTGTGCTTCTACACCTGAAGAAAACTTACATCTGGGCAAGAAGCAGCCACCAGGTCTTGGAGGTGTTCCTCTGTGCCTCTCGGCTGGGCTGGTCTGTGTATTTCTGGGGAAACCTTTAATTTAGAGCTTTAATACACATGCATTTAATTCCATTTTCCATGAGCTTTTTCTTTTATGAAAGGCAGCAGTGATTTATCACCAGGAGTTTCTTCATGTGGGGACAGCACAGGTGGTTGCTGAAGTGCTTTAGGGTTGCTCATCCCACCCTCTAAGTGAGAGAACTCAAGCAAAGAGCACTTTCCAGGGGTACAGAAAGAAATTGTACCTAAAAATTCTGGGTTCCCTTACAGATACTAACTGTGGGGATATGGCCAGGGGCATACAGGCAGTTGTTTATTCAGGTAAATGGGGCATGCTTAGAGAAGAAACATCTGCTATTGTGGGCTATCACTGATTTCTAGTGCCTGAAAGCTCTGGCATGTGGAGAGTTTTCTGCAGCAGCTGTGGCAGTGGAAACCCCTCAGGTTCTGCAGAAGTGGACTTCTGCTAACATTGGCTTCACACATGGGCTGGTGTGTGCAGCAGTGCTGGCAACAGCAGGCGCTGAGTGGAAAGGGTCCCTCTGACTCAGGTGACTCAGCTCCCTCTGAGTCAGGTGAGTCAGATGCAAGGAGGATGAGCCATGATCCCTAATTGGGAATTGCTGCAGCAGGCCAGATGGGCCTCGGGTCAGGTCCTTTCCCCGAAGCACACACAGCTGCAAAAGTTTTCCAGTGATGTATTTTTGAGCAGTATCCTCATTAAAGTGGCTGTACCAGGGCTTATATGATGAAGTGAGCTGCTCTGCCACCTGTGTGTTTAGCACATTGCAGCTGGAACTTGTGTGACTTGCAGGTGTCTCACAGACGCCCTTGGCTTCCTGGGCATGCTAGGTGAAGTATTATCTCTCCTCACCATCATGGTCTGTAACGTGGCCTCAGTCACCTCCCAATGCTTTGTTAATCTGGTGGTGACAATGCTGTAACCTGTGTAATTAGGAACACGTTGTCCTGGAGCCCTAAATCTAGAGGAATTTGAGCCCTTGGACAAATAGTGCAAATGGGTGTCAGTGGGGTTTTGAAAAATTGTTATTAACTTAGCTTGCTTCGGCTCTTAGAGGCATTTTTATGAAGTGAAGGGCTTTCACTTTCCTTACACTGTGACTTCTGTAGCCCTGCTGAAGTAAGAATTGAACCATGTCTTCTCTTAGGGGACAAAAGTACTTTTTGCCTAATAACGTAGGAACAGAGGGCAGACAAATTCACGCCTTCTTGGGAAACTGGAAAAGGCTAGCAGAGGCTTTGGTACGTGGTTCCAGGTATTGCTATCAGCTTCCCCAGCCTTGAGGGGAAATTCCCCTTCTGGAGGCATTTTTGCCACTGCTTTCCTCCCCTTGCTGGTGCTCACAATCCTTGTACCAATTCAGTTCAAAATTTGGAAATACTGGAGATTTTGGGGCACACTGACCCAGCGCAGCATAGTGCTGTAGCATGTGGACCGTGGTGTGTAGGGTGGCTGCATGAAGCTGCAGAATCCCTGGCAAGGGATTTTCTTCTGTGGTGACAACTGAGGTCCCTCAGGTGGGATGATGGGTGTGCACTCTGGTGAGCTATGGTGTCTCAGTTATCTCAGAGCCCACAGCAGCTGTGGACAAGCCCTCTGGTGCACACCTGTGTTTCACCTCTTGGTAGATGTGCTGGAGAAGCCTGTTGTCAGCAGGTCCTGCTTTACACTCCCCTCCCACAAAAAACCTGATCCAATGACAATTTCTGAACATGAAAAGTACATGTTTGAGGAAACTTGGTTGGATGGCAGTCCTGCTGGGGTTGCTTTGTAAATAAACAGTGGGAGTGTGTAATGCAATAGCATGCATACTTGGCTCCAGCTGGGCTGTTTCTCTATAGTATGTTGTTTTGGTGAGTGTTCTGGATCAGAAATCTGTAGCGGCTTTTTATACCAGCAACTCAACCGCTGAACTGCTTAACCTTCTCCACAGTCGGTGCCTCAGAAAAGCCAAAAGGGAGCAAATCAGACTGTATGAAAACATGAGCTACAAACTGGCCTGAAAGTCAACAGAGAGCTGTAATTTACTGGAAGGGAAGGTCCTCTTTAAATTTACAGAAAAGAGCATATATAGAAATCTAACAAAAGCATGTAATGATTGTCTGGCAGAGACCAAGGGATGCTGCTGCAGGAAGGATACAGTCCACAGTAGCTTTCAGCTCCCCCTGTTTGTTGCCAATGCTGCGTGCATTCATGTAGAGGCACTTCAGGTGGGCTGTTGGCCATGTCATCTCTTTAGAGGAGCACCTCTTAATTCCCTTAAGGTGTTTCATGCGTGTTTCCCTGTTTCTGCAGCTGATTCTGGCTCACAGGATCACAGAATATTAGGAGTTGGAAGGGACCTCGAAAGATCATCCAGTCCAATCCCCCTGCCAGAGCAGGATCACCTAGACTAGGTCACACAGGAACACATCCAGGAGGGTTCTGAATGTCTCCAGAGAAGGAGACTCCACACCCTCTCTGGGCAGCCTGTTCCAGTGCTCTGCCACCCTCACAGTAAAGAAGTGTTTCCTTATGTTTACGTGGAACACCCTATGATCCAGCTTGCTCCCATTGCCCCTT